TGAGGAGAGTCGCACAAGATCAGAGGGATGGAGCCCTGTGATCGAGTGCTGGTGGTCTCCTAAGAACAAAGAGAGGCTAGAAAACACATTTTCTGCCCCTGTCTCTCTTCCTCCCTGTGTGTCTTACCATATGATATCCTGCACTTCCTTGGGACCTTGCCAGAGAGAACGCCAACATCAACTGCGGGCTCTTGACCTTGGATAAGAACTGTAAGCCCAAAGAAACATCGCTTGTTTATGACTTTCCTTATCTCTGGTCTTGTTTGAAACTTTCCTCATCTCTGGCCTTTGTGTCACAATCAGTGAAAGATGGTTAAGCTACTCATTGTCTGGTCTGGGGTTCAGGTAAGGGCTGCTTTCCTGAGACATCGCTCCCCATCCTGCTGCCTGCTGCCGCCACCACCTCTCTGAGGATTACTGTCATGAATTAGCTTGTTCAGTAAAGTCTCTGAGAAGTCCTGGAGCAACTCTTACTTCTCCCAATGTGCCAGGCATGCTTTCTTGTCCCCTTGTAGTTCTTGTTGATGCCCTATGTCACTTATAGTTACCTGTAAGCAATGTGGTCAGCAGGACACAGGGGTCCCCCCCACCCCCAAACTTTGGGCTGGGTGAAACCTGGTGAGGAGGAATATGGGATCTAAGTCCCTGGCAGATACCCAAACGCACACAGGCACTGGGACCTGCCTCAACTATTTAAGTGACAGCCAACTTCATTTCTCTGTGTTCCGCTTATACCGAGGACCAGGTAGAGCCGAGCAAGGTTGCTTATCTCAACCTTGTCTGTGAGACTCAGGGGTGGAAATGGAGCTGGCTACATAGCTCATGTGTTAGAGCGTTTGTCTAGCATGAACAAGGGCCAGCACGACACAAACCTGGCACGGTGGTGCATGTGTTACTCAGAACATCTGTCTCAAAACCCACCCACCAACCAAATAAGCCAACAGAAACGGAAACAATCGTAATGGCGATGTGGAGGAGAATAGTGAAGGCCCTGTGGTGCTTCTGGACCTCAGTAGCTGGAAAGAATGAGGAAGTGCTTATGCACTGATAGGGAGGGCTCCCCAAGCATGTGCTGGGCCGGCAAAGGAAGGTACAAAGCACAAGATCTAGGGCCTAGCACATGTTAGGCAAGAGCTCTTCCTCTAAGTTCCACCCAAGCCATTTTTAAAACTTAGTTTTGTTTTGAGACAGGGTCCTACTGAGTAGCCCAGGTTGGCCTTGAACTCACTCTGTTGCTCATGCAGGTCTTGAACCCCTGTCTCAGCCTCTCTAGGGATCACAGACATGTATCATCAGAGTCAATATAACAATTAAATGAAGAGGTGGGGGAGCCTATGTGGGCATTTGTATTTATTCACAAGCAAATATACACACATATGTACATAGTCAGGCATACATGGGACATTGTGGAATCGGCAGGAAGAAAGCAAGCTGCAGGTACAGACTCTGAGTTCTATGTCTGTCCCTCACTGATTTGTAACTCAGAGGAAACAATCTGACCCATGCACTCTTCAGTCTGCTCATTCAGAAAATGCCGTAATTATATTTCAATCTCTAGAAATTATGGAGGGAAATCAGCAATGAATTGAGTCACATGAGCAAGGCTTCTGAGCAGTTGGCTGGCCCCCTGGCTGGGGCAGAATAAGTGAGCTTTTATTTTTTTAACCATGGTGCATCTCTTCTGGTCCACACATCTTCACATCTCAAACCAGCGGTGGAAGAATAGCTTTCCATTCGGCCCTTTGTGTAGGGGCCTGGTGGGGCTTTTTCTATCCTGGTAGGCACACATCCTAATGACCTGGATTAAAAGGGAAGACGTTTGGGTACAATTGACTGGATTGTTATCTATGGTGGCACTTCCTGGGGCTCCCTGCCCTGGACTGAAGCTTGACAGGCAGTTAGAGGATCCTCACAGCCAGCTGGCCCTCTTGACTTCCCCAAGAGGAGGATGCTGAGGAGGGGCCAAGGGGCCTGCAGCCTTATCGGGAGGCCTGGCATTTTATAAGCAGCGACTACTCATGTTTACTCATGCTTTTGCTTAGCGTTGCTGGGTTGCAGGCGGCAGACACTAACACTGGTTAACTTCAGCAAAAAGGAATTTATTGGCAGGATGTTGGGAGCTTGGAGAAGTGACAGGATCCTAGAGTAGACTCCAGGAGGGTGGGAGCCAGGGCCTTTCTGAATACCTAGATCAGGAGCTGTGACCGCCACGTACAGCAGGGAACTTGGGATCTGTATGCTGCTGAGCTTGAGATGGTGACCTCCAGCTTTGTCCCCTGTCTCTGGATTCAGTGGCTTTCGTCATTCTTCTTGCTTGTCTGTCACCCGAGGATCCCTCCTTTCCTGGCTTGATGAAATTCCCTGCCGTAAAGTCTTGCGGACAAGTGGCTAAGTCACTCCCCCACTGTGGATGGACCTGCAGGTCCCAGTACCTTTGTAGGATTCTGGAATGCAAGGTCCCAGCATCCTTTGAGGTAGGGCACAGACACATGGATAGATGGGCCAGCTACATGTCACCTGGGAAACGAGTAGCAGGCCGTGCCGTAGAGCACCATCAAGGTCCTTCTGTGTAGGTGGCAGGATGTTAGAACAGCCGCAGCAGCAGTGACCAGTTGGAAGGATGGCCGTGCTGTGCCCAGCATGGGAAGCAAGGTGGCATCCTGTGTGTAGTCACATGGATTGGTGTCTGGAGGACTATTCAGCTAAGATCCCAGCTGTGGCCTGGCTGTCTTGCTGCTGCCCATCTGCCAGCCTTCCCATCAGGCCTGTGATCTTTCTCACCTTCTATGGAATAAATCCCTGCCTGGCTCAAACTGACCAAGCTGGATGCTGTGGCCGGCAACCCAGAAGCTTGGCTGACATTATACATGACTCTCAGCAGATGTGTGCTCCCAGGAGAAAGGTCGAGGCACGTTTCTGTTCCCCAGTGGGGCCCAGGAGACTTGGGGAGTTGGAGTTGGCCCTTTGGCTTTCATAATGGGAGGCAGAAGCCTAGAGTTCCCCTCCACCAGGACCACACACAGTGGGGAAGAGGCAAATTGCAGAAGGAACGCAGGCTACTGTTAAATGAGGAGTGTGGGAGCGTAGTTAGCAAAACAGGACACACGTGCACCAACCAACCTCTTTACATCCAAGTAAACAGAATGTATGCCTTATACGGAGGTGGTAGATCTCTCCCTTCTTTCCTTCATGTAGTCCACAAGCACACTGCAAGCCGAATGCATGCTGACACTGTGACTGCCCTCCAGAAGCTGAGGTAGGTAAAGGGAACAAGGAAGGCTCCAGAAAGAAGGAAAAATGAACTAGACCTCGGAGGGGGGCTGAGGGGTGGAGCCAAGAGGAAAGGAGGACCGGAACTACAACAACTTCAGATGGTCTCAGCATCACATAGGGCCACAAGCATGGGCTTGGAGGAGAGGTAGGGGTAGAGAAGAGTGGTGGAGTGTCCATGGGAAGACGGAAGTTTGGGAGAAAACCTGAGGGTCAGGCTGGAGTTTAGAGGTAAGGGCTCGAATGTCCTATAAATCTGGGTCATTGGAAGCGTTCCTTCGGGAGAGGCTTGTCATCAGTCTCTGAGAAGGTTGTGTGGATGGTGACAAGCATTAGCTGTGGCTGGAGAGGAAGGTACAAGGCAATGGAGAAGAGTAAAGCTTGGGCTGCAGCCTGCGGGTGG